GCCACATATACTGCGCCTCTGTGCGGTCAGTTCTCCTTTAGGGATGAGACACAAGACTTCTTCTCCGAAAAAAGGTTACTGCTCACAAATCCAAACCTTTGCTTAATTCTTTGTCTTCCTTACACATCACTTTCCATTTGCCCCTCTTCCGAACCGTAATACTCCTTCAAGCAACTTAGATGTCGCCTGCCTACGGTCGTCCACTTTTATCGAGTGGATTCTCGTCAATAGTCATTTATGTGCAGTTCGCCTCCAGGGTTCAATCAGTATCCGGAAGAGAAGAAACATCAAAAGGTGTTTGTTCGTCCTATCAGCATAGGCACCGACCAATTGCAGTGCTGATACGCAAAAGGACGCTTTCTACGATGAACTCACCGATCTCATTCGCATGAGTCGAAGCTCCAACATAGTTGTACTTGCAGGTGACTTCAACGCGCAGGTTAGAAAACTGAGCGCATCTGAAGCTTACCTAGGTGGACATTTTTCTCTGCCTTACCAACGAACAGATAATGGCGATCAACTTCTTCAGTTCTGCGCAAACCATGATCTGCTCCTATGCAGTACCAAATTCAGACGCAGCTCTCGACGAACGGCAACGTGGCGCTCCAGTTCAACTGGTACGCTAACTCAAATCGACCACATAGCAAAAAGCTACCGTTGGTGTGTCTCAGTGCAGAATTGCAGGTCCTATTGGACCACCTGCGTTCAGTCTGGCCACGCATCAGTTTCCAAACAATCCACTCTTCGACCGACTGGTGGACGACAAAACCAGAAAACTGATAGCTCCTCTTCGACTGCCTGTTCCCACAGTTCGTGCACGCTGAGTCAGTTAGTGCGCGAGCTAAACGTGCTTTACGGTGACGATGCAGATGAGCAAAGTGCAAAGTGATGCTGCAGGACTGAGTTTCGTTTACTCCCGATTTGAAACTTGATGGCCAGGAATTAATTACAGTGGATTACTTGCCGTGCTTAGGTAGTCGCGTGAACATTGACGGAAGCGCAGCAAAGGAGACAGCCACTCGCACTTCCAAGGCTTGAGCAGCGTACGCAGGACTGAAACACCTTTGGCGTAGACGCGACATTTCACTGAAGTTGAAATGTGGTGTATATTGTGCTACCGTTCGTTCAATTCTGTTTTATGGTTGTGAGACCTTGAATTTGACAGTAGATATCCATCGACTGGAGTTTTTCGATTACCGGTGTTTAAGCAGTTTAGCTCACGTGGGATGGAGCGAACGGGTTAGTAACGTGGAGGTAAGCCGCCGTGTGGTTGGGTGTCTAACATGTATAAACCTGCTAGCACAACGAATTCAGACTAGTGTACTTCGCTGGCTACGACAGGTAATGCGCATGTCCACCTACCGTCTACCACATCGCGCCTTATTCGCTGTAGCCGCTCCGAGTTGAAGGAAACCACGTTGAGGTCAACAGATGACGTGGAGAGGATGCGTGGGGAAATGCACAGAGCCATTTGGTAGAGTAGGTGTCTCTCGCCTTCCAGGTTGGGGTCCGAAAGACTTCATAACCGGTTGATTAGACACACTGAAGGATATGACAGCGAACTGACATTAGTGGCGTTCTTTTTGTCATTTCTTATCAGGCCAGAACACCTGAAACGGTGTGCATCAACAGTTCGATTGTGCACTCTGTGTTGACCACAGTGATTCACTCTCTTCCCCCCTCAATCACAGAAGGTCAAGTCGCTGTCCACTTTACATTTTACTGCCAACCGTGTGTTCATTGTGAGTTTGACAGCAATCAGTGAAGTTCGAAAAGGAGTACGTCGGGATTGTTCGGTGGAGGGTTTGTTTTCGCATTGAATTAATAGTAACAGGCTTCACTAGTTAGGTTAAGTGTTGCGCATGTTCAGTCGTCGTCCACCGCAGTATGCCTTAGTCGCCGTGGCTGCTTCAGGTTGGGAGAAATCCCGTAGAACAACATATGACTTGGAAATGAGGCATGAAGAAAAGCAAGGAGCTTTTAGGAGTAATTCATGTTTTTTCTCTCTCTAACTGGTTGGTTGGAGACAGTAAAGGATTTGGTAACTAACTGACAATAGTGGCGTTTCTGTCCTTTCTTATCAGGTCAGAATGCTTCAAAAAGTTTACCTGCACAGTTAGGTTGTGTACTTTTTGTGTCGGTTCACTTTCTTCGTCCAGTCCCCCTTCCGAAATAGGCCCACCTGTTGTGCATTTTACACATTCTCACCTGCTTTGTGTACATTATGAGCACAGCCGTGAACGGTGAACTTCAGTACACCACGACGATGAAACAGGACTCGTTGATAAGGTGACTTGGTTTAGGTTGAATAAGTTCAAGCACAAGGTGAGGAGGAGCAGGAAGACGAAGCTGCACCTCGAAAATGAATGCAGTATTAAAGAGTGAGATAAATCTGTATTGTGCATTATAGAAGGTAGATTGGGGTGAAAAACCCGTTAGGTGCGGGATGAGAAGCCGATTCCGCGCACAGCACGAGAGGAAAGTAAGGAAATGTAGCATGCAGGAGAAGAGTGAGCAGAAAGATCCAAGAGAAAGCGCGAGTTTACGGAGCTGGGCGAAACGAAATCCAGATGAAGCTGAGGGAAAGAAAGACTGATGTTTAGGAGAGATGATCACCAGCGAATCCTTGGTAGCGTTGACAATAACATGTCTATTGGAATTCGATGGGAGATAAGACCCAAGCCTGGAGCGAAATACACTATGAGGAGACGACGGTCATGATCGATGTTGGTAGTAGCGGAGTGCGATGGACAGATACATTGTACAATCTGTATTGGCCACAGAGGTTTACCTCCTCTGCCCACCCAGGAAGAAGCTCGACACCAGCGTTCGTTGCGTTACGCAACGCTTTTTGTACTTCATGTATGGAACAGTTGAAGTCAAACGAAGAGATAGGGCAACACTGTCGTACTCCACTGGTGTCAAGAAATGAGAGTGAAAGTTCACCATAGGCCCTAACCTTCCCCGAGTTCTGCGATGGTGCTTTTCGAAGCAGGACAATTCTCGGGCATACCCTATCTCAGCAAACAAATCAAAGGTGCGGGGCCATCGATGGAGTCGAAGGTCGCTTTATCTAAAAACAGTAGTTTATCGTCTGTATGTGTGATGGTGTTCTAGGAGCTGATAAATGGCGAAGATTTGATCTTATGGCGTGACGTTTCACTGAAGTTGAAAAGTCGTGTATATTGCGCCACTGTATGGTCAGTGAAGCGAACGTCACTGATCGCTGCCAAACCCGTATTACAAACAAGGTAAGTGAGAATGCGTAGGGAGGATAGGAATTGGACTTACTTTTAGGGACGGGAAAAGAAAGCGAACCTCTATGGTCAGCACAGAGTACACAGTTCAGCTGTGCATATATTCCGTTTCAAGCATTCTGGCCTGATAAGAAGTCACGGCAAGATTGTCACTGCTGTCGGTTTGCTGCCATGACCTTCAGGGTTTCCAACCACCCAGCTACAGGGTATTTTGGACTCCAACTTGGAAAACGAGAAACATTTATTCTACCTAACCGCTCTGTGCATTTCTTCATGCCTCGTCTACACGTGGCTTTCTCCAGCCTGCAACAAACACTGCAAACAAAGCGCGCTGCGGTAGGCGACCGTCGGGCATACGCAAAACGTGCCCTAACCAACGGAGCCTATTGAGCTGGATTCGATGATATAGCGAGTTCTTGTTCTATGTATTCACAAGCATCCGACGACTTACTTCTAAGTTACTAACCCGCTCACTCCATCCCACTTGGGCCAGACCATGTAACCACTGATGTTCAAAAACAACTAGGGGACGTATGTCTTCTGCCCGCAAATTGAAGGTCTCACAACAGCAAAGCAGAAGTGACCATACAGTGGCGCAGTATACGCAACTTTTCAACTTCAGTCAGACATCACGTCGTCCCCACAGGTGTTTAAGTCCTGCGGACGCTGTTCGAACATTAGAAATGCGGGCAGTTATTTCCTTTGATACGCCTTTGTTTGATACAGCTATCCAAGTACGAGAATCAGTCAACTTTAGCTAATTCCTGACCGTCTAGTTACATAACAGAACTCGGCGACACCCAGTCCTACAGCATCACTTTGCACTTTGAAGATGCAAAGCACATGGCGCACGTGGCGACATAACTTGCTAATCTGTCAAGTGCTTTTGGTGCATTACATTCGAACAGGCAAACGATGTCGTCAGCGTACTCTAAATCGCACAGCTTTTCTCCAGCTGCCCATTCAATACCCACGTTTCGGAGACCGCTTAGTGTGTTCTTCAGTATTTCGTCTATGACAAAACCGAACAGGAATGGCGAAATAGGGCACCCTTGACGAACACCGCTGCTAGTTGGGAACGACCTACTCAGCTCCCCGTAGACCAGAAGTCTGCTATTGAGTGAACTTAGTACGTTCACGTACTTCTGGAGCATTCCTTTGCGAAGGAGCTAACCCATAAGGGATTCGCGATCAATTGAGAAGTTGAAGATGAGATGAAAATTATTGATATAGAAGTTGTGGGATACTACCTCAGAAAGGGGCCAAAACGTTTAGATGCCGATGAGAGGAGGCCAACTGTTTTACTCGCACTGTGTATTTGAAATTACACATGGACAGGAGAAGATATTAACCCCGTAATCATGAGGGCATGCTGTTCAGTAATGAAATTACGGAAGCCACATATACTAGATGCATGTAATGCCCGTAATTATCTTCGGTTGGCTTGCATGCTGTTCCGGTGAATGTCTCTAAAGCATCTAGCGAAGAAGTACTTAAAAACTCGATCTCATTTTCACAAAACTGGCCTACTGAGCATGAGCGAGTTGTGCATAGGGACAACCAAACAAGCGATTAATTTGCATGATTACTGTTTTCATTAAACGTTAGTGTGGTGAAAACAGACGGGCTGGATAATATGGTCACGAAGAAGTGCTGTTCAGTGATGGAAACCGATAACGTAAGCTCCGGGACTCGGAGTGGCGAACCGCACAAGGCCTCGCTAAGTTTGGCATGGTATTGAATCGGACGACAGCAAAGCTGCCGACAAACAAAGTTAGGTGGTGGTGGTGGTGGTAGTGGCGGAGCTCGAACTTCGGCTCACACAGTCCAAAACATGCCGGCGTCAGCGATCACTGTTATATAAGTTTTACTTCATCATTTTGTTAAAGCGTACATAAAAAGCCGTATGTAAAATCTATCCACAGAAGGGAGCAAGGACAAAACAGTGTAATGGGAGTATACGGTCTCCATCGGTGCTCACCTGAAGTTTGGGCAAAATGAGCTGATCCAATATACGTCGTTCCAACAAATCTTCCGGCAACAGCGATTTCCACACCTCGAGGACCTCGAGCAGCGGTTCACAGTCGCGTGGATCCCATTCGTTTACAATCGTGCGACGCAAACTATTTAACCAGGTAGTCTCCAAGACCACATTGAAGGCGGAGGTATTTTGAAAGAATCCACGCCATTTTGATAATAATGGGTAACAGAATGAGGGGTCCTACACAGGGGATAATTGTAAAAAGAAATACGCCAACATGATCAAAACAGAGGAATAGTAAGTGACCCAGAAAAGCGGAGATCACGGCAAAATGTATGCAAATACAATAGCTTCGGCACACTTCTTTAGATAGACGGATTTTCATAGAACTTTTTTCAACTGTGTTCAGTTAAAAGCTAGAAACCGTAGCAACGGCCAGTACGTGTAGCTGGTAATCATCGATTCAGTTATTAGTGATTCTTTCGTTAAACTACTGCGTTCTCAACCAAGTGTCAATTCAGATTTTACAACCATTGGCACTCAATCACTAACCATGCACTTTCGTCACCGGTTTCGGTTGCTGTTTCATGACTGACCAGTTGGATGATCGGGGCTCCCGTGGACAGCAAAAATCTATGGCTTCAAACACGAGGCGACATGGCTGGTAACTGGCGTCAATGGCGCACCTGTTCCGAGACACTTATTCCTTGATTTGTATTTGAACCACTTTCACATTCCGTTCTTCATATGTTGTGGCACATTAGGCGACTCTGTGTAACCGATCGTGCTGAATGTATATTTGGCCTTTGGTTGTAGGTAGCTGCACTGCAGCGTGGCTCAATACTTCTATTTCACGGGGACCTGATGTATGTAAACAATCTAACAGAGCTTAATTAAGTTGCCAATCTCCAACGCAATACAGTAATCACTCGTGGACAAGTAGTTCAGCCTCTAAATTGTTAACCATATTCGAGTGAATAGGAAAAAAGAACGGTATTTTTATTATTAAAGGCCGAAAAATTGTGCACGATTCTCCGTTTTGCGTCTCACCTTACCGATGAACCTTATTCATACCCTGCTGAAGAGTGAACGTCCTGTGTACAGTATCTAGGTTTCGGGAAACGGGACTGGGCCCTTCAAACAGAAACAAGTGCATGATCCAAATTCAGCTGTGTCTGGTTAGAGACAAATACAATCCTCTCACAAACAAGCAAGCGGTCTTTTAAAGCCGAAAAGATAGTGTACCATGCGACCTTCGGAAGCCGATTTTACAATGAAATGAAAAATTCGAATACAGACTCACTACCAACGGTTTCCATTTGCCAATTGATTTGTCCAGCATGGGTCTTACAATGGCAGCCATGAGGACGGGCATTTCGGGTAGATCACCACAGTCCTGACGGATACGTGTCAGCCAGGAGGCTATCTCATCAGGAACTAACTCGCCTTCTTTGTGTGCGACCTCTGTCTCAAACTTCTCAATCAAATCCAGTGCAGTTTTCAGTCGTTTGGTTTCCGCGGATTCGTGTTTCACCACCTGCGGTATTCACATTGAGAAAAAATGATAAGAGCAGGTAGAACAAGATTGAAAAGGTGAATCCATAAGAAAATGGATGGGAGCGAAGGGGGAAGATAACAGTACTTATATGGATGAAATTTCATCGAACCCGTGATTTGCACCCAGTAAAGCATCTATCAGATACTGGTGTGGTAATGGGTTACTCAAAGGATTAGCATATGCCATTCTCACACTGAGACATCTTCAGTACGGCCCAGCGTTGTAGTAGATTTCACGTTGTGCTGCAAAGCCCCTAAACAGATCGGTTAACCACCAAATGAGAAACTTTCCTCATAAAATCATCATCGTCGCACAGCGAAATACGGTAGTGTGAGCTTCACTGATCACTGCCAAGTTCAAAATATACAAGAACCAAGTACCAATGTGCAAGGTGGGTAGGAAGTGGGCCATTTTGGAGAGACGAGGAAAGAAAGTGAACCTCCATGGTTAATACATGATTTTACTAAGCATACATACCTGTTGGAGCATTCTAGCCAGGCAAGAACACCATTGTTATCCTTTTGCTGTTGTGTCCTTCAATGCCCCCAATCAATCAGTGAAGGAGTCCTTTGAGCCCTATCGTGGAAGGCGAGAGAAAGTCACTCTACCTAGTCTGCGTTATATGCCGACCTCCAAGGGATTTCTACTAACCTAGATCGGCAAACGCAAACAAGGCGCGGTGCGGTGGACGACTATAAGGTGTGAACAATACGTGACCTATTTGGCGAAGCTTACTCNCGGTGACGAAATTTGGACCGAAGTGCTCCCAAAGGCTCAACGACTTACCTCAATGTTCCTAATCCGCCCACTCCATTACATCGGCACCAAACTACCAAAACATCGATGATAGAATATCTCTAATGGATGGCTGTATCCCAGACGCCAATTCAAGATCCTATAATCGTAAAGCAGAACTGATGATACCGTAACAAAACGTGTGGTAAACAATTCCCCGGTTTTGCGCAGGGCTTGAAGTGGAGATAGAACTATCATTTCGCTAATGAATTGCATCAGACGTTCTCCAGAAACACGTGGCTATCAGAAATCGGTCAAAAATACACTTCATTATCACTAAGAAAGCGCCATCACAAAGTAGACTAATATCGACATTTTATTCGAACAGCGAAAACAAGACTGGCAGCTAGTCAATGTCAAGAACTATTTAATGATCGGGTTTAAGTTAAAGTGCGTACATTTCACCACTTAGATGTGGCGGGGGTGAAGAACATGCGAAAAGATAAATCCGTGAACTTTAACGATAAATCGATGGTGGTCGCCATTGTTCAACTGATCAGTAGTGGAAAGAGGACAGCTTTGCAATCATCAAGCTGACAAGTGAAAATGTTGTGTGAAACCAACCGGGCTAAAAGAAACAGTTCACCCCCGATCCGCAAAACACCATTAGAATCATTTTTCCACGTGTCAGTAGACACCTTGTCTAAACTTTATCCAGTATAATGGAACACGTTCCGAATCGACTACTGCTACCGTTGTGACTATTATTCGATGGAACAGAAAATGATTTTCCTTTTTCGTACCCCGACACTGGTCCACATCAGGGTTAAAGGGTTAACACTAAATACACTACAGAACATTTCAGTTAGGAGCGCGTTCCAGAAGCGGCGGTGGTCATGTGCTCAGCGTCATCAAAAAGCAACTGGGGGTCCTGGATTCGGAACGCGCCACCACCGCTTATTTTCCGAATTTCGGTATCCCCTGTCTGATCGCGGTCTCGTTCCTGAAAGTTGATTGTACCTTTGTAGGTACAATAAAAAGTTGAAAAATTTACTTACTATATGTATAATATATATATATATATATATATATATATATACATATATGCGTGTGTATGTTTAGGGTGTCACACAACAAACATGAGCAACACTTAGTGATTCATCGACAGGTATTTATTTTCACGTTAGGGAAGAATGGATCCTAACTCAAAAGATACGTGTAAAAGGACAAGAGAATTTGACCACACACTTCCGGTTTATGTGAAGAAAGAGTGGATTTAGGTGGTGAAGATCAATCAACCAACTAAGTCCCTTAATAACAGTGACTACTGTAAGACGCTGTGGGCGACAATTGGGAACATGGTGGTGCTGTACTTTACGGAAAGCTTGTTGCGTGGTCTTTTGTGAAGCCGAATGATGATAATGGCGAAAATAACAAATGCCAGTTAAAGCTCACCTCTTGCAATTTTTCAATTTCGTGTTCTAATGCCACCGCACGATCTTCCTCGAAACGCGCAGTCCTATCGGCCTTACGAATTTCATCTTCACACGACTGAAGAATCAAGCCGAGATTGTGTCGCAAAGCGGGACAGTCGAAAAGTTGACCCTCTCGCCGTTTCTCCACTCGCCGGCCTTCCGCATCCGGACCATCCTCGTCATCCAGGACGTCTGGAGCGTGACTGTTCCGAGCCGTACGAGACAAGGCGGCCTCATAACCGGAATAAACACGTTGCTCCTTGCTTGTCATATCAATAACCTTTACCTTGGACATTTCGCTGAAATAAAACGTCAGGAAAACAAATTGTGACGATGTGGACTAGGACTGATATTAATATGGTTGGGTGATCATTCTCGTAAAGAATCAACATCATATTAAAACCCGGAATGTGTGATGAAACCGAAATCATTAATGAGAATAATATAAGAATGCAGTGACACAAGTTTGGATAATGAGAGTGCATGAGCACCACACCGAGCACAAACAGGGACGGAAGATGGTTAAAGGAGAACTTCAGGTATATCTCGGTATCACCTACCTATTTTCAAGGAATAAGCCATATCGACGGACAGCAGCAGCCGGGGTTGCCGGAGACAAACTGGCAACAATCTCATCTGCAGTCTTGAAATCGACTGACTTGTTAGGCTTAGCAGTCTTTTTCTTGTACCGAGGTCCGGTCTCTATAGCTGAGGAAATTAAGTGAATGAACAAAAAGGATGAATACTTTGAGAGTGAACCGAGATTGCAACTAAGATAAAAATTCAATAAACCTTCGTTTTAATCCTAATAACTTCAGTAAATCAAAACTGGTAGAATATGTCGATGTCCAGCTCAGGGTCCATACGATCTGTCCCTCCAACTCCTAGAGCGTTAGGTGAGAGTAGAAAAAATTGCAATAATGAGAACGCTGCAACCGTAACCGGTATCAACTAGTTAAAAATACCAAAAACGGAATCCGACTAGCTCCTGATCGCGAGTTTTGCTATGCTGTACGTGAACACAATGCTGAAGGGTAGAAAATAAACAAAAACCATGGGGATATAGACAGCGTTGTCTCCAACCAGTTGCAGAAATCTTATCGGATAACCGGATACGAAGAGCTTAGTTATATCATTTGGTTGCGCTCATGTAGAAATGAGTGCTGACTCCCATGGACTGCAATAATTGTAGCACGCATTATGCTTGCCACACAATCGGTTTTCTCAGCATGCGATGTTAGCCGGGGGGTGACAGTTAGACTAAGGGTGAGCAGGCGATGACCTGATATGAGGCCTTGACCAGAGAGCTTGATCAAGTAGGTCACGTTAGATATACCGGTTGGGGACATTAGGCGGTACGACTAAATGTTAAAAACTGTAATGCTTATGAATTTACTCAATTCGTAAACTTAACCAACCTACTCATATTTAGTACCTTTGCCTCAGTTGAGAGTTTATTTTTACTCCGGTTCTCATTACCGCATCACTTTGCATTTTGAAGATGCAACGCGCATACAAAATGAAGTTACAGAACTTGAAAGTCTGTCAAGAGCGCTTTGTGCATTCTCCATACAGACAAACAGACAAACGATGTCGTCAGTGTACTCTAAATCGCACAGCTTTTCTCCAGCTGCCCATTCAATACCAACACCTTGGATACCACCTGGCGCATTCTCCGGTATTTCGTCTACGACGAAATTGAACAGGAATGGCGAAATAGAGCACCCTTGATGAACACCACTCATGGTTTCGAACGATTTACTTAGCCCACCGTAGACCCTTACGCTACCGGAAGTATGCAGGTACAGCGACCGCAATATGCTTATGTACTTTTGCGGCATGGCTTTGCGGAGTAGCGACCCTAGAAGAGACCAATGGTTAACTGAATTGAAGGCTCCTTTTAGGTCGAGGAATACCGCCATTGTTGATCGACGATATATGTGATGCAATTCGAGGACTTGACGCTGAATGAAGATATGGTGGACGCAACTACGACCTGGCTGCAATATGGCTTGCTGTTCGCCGAAAATTCGTCTCCCTTAAGGGTGTCAGACGACGAAGTATCGCAGAAGTCAATACTTTTGTGATTATCGGATCTACAGCAACCCGGCGGTGATTGACGCAGTTGTTGTGTGATCCCTTTCTTTCTTTTCTTTAATGATTGAATGCAGCTTCGTACTTCCAATTCCGATGGGGACCCATATGTCACGATCCGTGGGGCTTCCGCTGCAATTACTGGAATGACCGCGTTAGCACTAGGCCAACTGAACTGTTCACCAAAATACTCTGCCCAGCGATCAAGTCGTTGTTCTTTATTCTGGATACTCTGTCCACTTTTATCGCAAATGGTCTCACTGACCGGTATGCGACGACCTCCGGTGCTACGTATCAGGTGAAACAGTCTTTGTCTATTCCCTGATGCAGAAGCTACCTCCATTTCACTAGCTATTTTGGCCCATCAATTTCCGCGATCTTTTTTAAGTCTTTTCCTGAGTTGACGTTGCAGGCAACACCGTTCCCTATGATGATCCTGACAGATTGAGATCTTTCGCTTTTGATCCACCAGGGTTACAGATTCCTGAGAGGTCCAATGCTTCAGTGACCTTCGGGCTCTGTCCCACAAGCGAAGGTGGCTGCTGAGTACATCGCAAGTCTAATCTGACCCCAATGTTGGTCTACTCCACTATGTCGCGGTTATCCAAGCTCCTGTCCCAGCTTCTCTTCATAGTGTGCGCAGACAAACCTTGGTAACATCATCATCATCATCATCATTATCGTACGGCGAAATACAAAGAAGCGAACTTCCCTGATCGCTTCCAAACTCGCAATGTACATGCACTGTGGTTTGATGGACGGGTACTGCTAGGGGGTATAGTCACCAAGCAGGAGAACGATTACGGTTCTCAACCAAGGCCTTTAGTTCTGACAACAGCTTAGCCGCAAGGCAGCGGTTGAAGCGCAGTGGAGGTCCAATTACTTGGACCAATTACTCTTCCACCATTTTTCACCGACTGAAACGCGAATTATAGTCGAACCCCCAATCCGGAGACTGAACTTCATCTGACCTCTACCCTTCGACCTTCCAGGCATGATTAGATCTTGGCTCGACAAAAGATATCCTGTATAGCCCGTTAGGTCACAGAGGTGCACAAGCCATCACACCAGGTCTCGGTAACTCTTGATAACTCTAACCTAGAAAATAGTGTACAACGATTTACTAAATGTAAATAAGTACTTTTCGTTTTACGCATTATCCGACAACCTGCAGACCGAAGTGTGACTTACCTGAGGTAGCAGTTTCTTGAGATTCCAGAGCTTCATTACCTCGCCGCGGAGCCGGAGCCGTTTCGGAACCAAAATATCCGATAGCCGTCTTTCCCATACGTTGTGTGGCCTGCACTGGTGTTGTAATACCTTGACCTTCGGAACCAAGACCTTTTCCTGGTTGATAGCCCATCTGTTCCAACAACTTCATTCCTATTCCTTTGGTGTGACGCTCCCATGCACCGAAGCCCGTCGCCTTGGATTTGGCTGAAGCAGCAGCGACTGCAGCACGACGCCCAGCTCCAACTGAGACCCGCGGCTGCCTCCTGAGATGACCGGAACGAACGACAGTATCGTCCGCGGACGAATCGGAATCCGAGCCCTGANAGCCCTGAGCCAACTGCTGATCTTCTTCGTCGTCCGAGATTGGAACGTCGTCTGCATTATCTTTTTGTTCGGCATCCTTACCGCTCACCTAAGTGGCAAAATAATTGAGAAAAACGTTTGATATCAGTTCAGAAATTCCAATAAATAAATGCAATGGAAAAGGTATGAAACTATCTCTCACCACTGGACACATTGGAAGCCAAACACATAAAAGAAACATACAATTGTTGAAGCTGTAGCAACTGACATTGGTCGAGAAAAAATAGGAGAGTACGGCAGCCTCCGAATAATTAAGCACACCTTCAACTTCGTTGCGAATGGATGAGGCGAGAAATAGTCAATCAACTTGTAGTTTTCAACAATGAACTGCGTGACAGGTGTGTCGACGGTAAAAAGAAACGGTAACTGGATTGGTGGTAGATCACTTCTGGTGATAGTTGAGGGAAGTTTACAACCGCTTTAGTACTCTGGTTTCCACTTTCCTTTTTCAGAAATTTAATTTAAAGGAGCATTAGGAACATCATAAGTATTTTAACACCACAAAGAGTTCCACACCTTAATACTTCTGAACTCATTCTTTACCCGTTTCATGCCATTAGTAAATGGCACAAAGACAATAACTCGCCTTTTGTAGATTTATTGCTGAAATAAACACAAACAAGCAAGAAAAATTTCTTTCGGGCACTTCTCTCCTAGCAATAAATCAAACTTACCACTTCATTACAAACATTTGTGTGATGAACAATAGACGAGGTAGAACCCATAGTCGAGAAGACCTGCTGTTCAGTGACGGAAACCGGCAACCTAGGCTCCGGGACCTGGAGTGGCGAACTACATAATACTCCGTTAGGTTTAGCATGGTAGTGAACCGGATGACAGCAAAGATGCCTGTCATGAAAGCTCGATGGCGGCGGTGGGGTCGGAGCCTCGGAACATTTGATTCAAAACAAGCCGGTGACAACAACTAAATTAATGCATCACCACCACTGAAGAAGCAGATCGCCGTTATCTGTTTGTTGGAAAAGCAACGAAGAGGGATCGCCAAGGCATGCCCCGAAGAGTTCAGTTTTTTAACCTGCGCAGTGAAATCATTTACAAACACTAGCATATCAAAGCTCCAGCTCAACCGAATGAGCTCGGACAGTTTGTCGTAGAAACCGTAGTTTGTGCGTCCAAACTGCAGTTGGTCGGTGCGCATGCTGATATACTATATATGACGACGATGAACACACGTCTTTTGGTGTTGCTTCCCTTTCGAACGCTGGTTGATTA